CAAGGGCAAGGTGTACCGGGCAGTAGTTAGGCCTGCGATGCTCTACGGCAGCGAGTGCTGGCCCATCTGCAAGAACCATGAAAGGCAGCTCCACTCAGCTGAAATGAGGATGCTGAGATGGGCCTGCGGCTGGACACGACTCGACAGAGTCAGAAACGAGGACGTCAGGGCAGTCACACAGACGGCTCCGATCCAGCTGAAGGCACGAGAGCAGCGACTGCGATGGTATGGGCACGTACTGAGGAGGCCTGAAGACCACCCAATAAGGAAGGCATTGGAATTCGAAGTAGAGGGCAAGCGACCACGAGGAGCCCCAAAGAAAAAAGATGGAGGGACGTCATCAAGAAGGACGATGAAGTGAAAGCCACAGCAGAAGATGCAGTGGATCGGAACAAGTGGCGACGTCTAACAAGAACAGCGGACCCTGCGACGGCGCGGGACTAACGCTAGGGAGAAGAAGAAGAAGAAGAAGAAAAACAATGCCCGGGCCAAATGCCCTTTACTCTCTCTCCGAGTACGACTCCGATTAGGGATGCCTAATTGGCGAATGACCTTGCTCCTACGACCCACTCAGCTTCCACACAGCACAGAGCGCAGGTACAGTTTGTGTTAACATCTGATCTACTCACCAACATACTCATCCATATTGAATGTTATTACATATTTGAAGGACAGTGTTCCTTCCTCGTAAGAATTTGATCAGTTTTTTGTACATGCCCAGCGGCGTGGAACCTGTAAAAGTTACATCCGACTTGATTAAATTCGACGGTTGTGAAAATGAGGGCCAAAGCAAATAAATCAAATAATAGTAAAATAAAACTGAAAATAAAGGGTCGAAAGCAATGAAACATGATGAGGGATTGGAATTAAATTTAATGAGTACAGACGATGATGACCTGTAGGAAGTCCTAGCACAAAAGGTCGATCTGGCCCACAGTTGTGTGCATTAATACGATTCCGTACGTAACGTGCGGCAAAATCAGTAACTTCGTCAGCTGTTTCTTCAATAATTAATCGCATCTGAAAACATCATAAAATAACGTAAATAAGAAGCTGTAAAGTGACAACCCGTTTTAGTGCGTGCCTTTTCGGACATCAAGAGATTAATCTTTCCGGTATCTATTTCTGTTTAGCGACGCACATCAAACAGTTGCTAGACGTCGCTCCCACTTGAGCAAGAGATCGAAATCCGTCCAGGTAAACCGGCCCATCTGTTCCTGTGAGCTCAACCAAAGGTTGGCAGATCTTCATGTGAGGATATAGCAACAAGCTGAGTTGGATGTACTCGCTGTTGACATCATTTGCCAAATATGTATATTTAGAAGTCGAGTCGAACATACGGTGCGTAATGAACCAAAAGATATTCGTCGACATCATGTTCCTCAATTAATGGTGAATTTTTGCCTGGAACTGTTCACCGCGAACGAAGAGGCACCCTTTACCACGCCACAGTCAGGAGGTCAAGTCCTGGTCCAACTTGGCCTTCCGTATCTTTATGGTCAACGGATCGCTACCGTTTGGGAGGATAAACGTTATATGTATATCAGTTGGCCCAGCGTTATTGAAAAACCATGTCGCATTCAAAGTGGCACTACGAGTTTGGCTTGAGTTATTCCAAAGGGGCTGCAACCCACGCAGGAAGCTTTATCATTTTCTTGGCTATTCTTCACTGTTATTTTCCGATCTGAAGTGAGCACGTAGAACATATTCACCCTTCACCCTTCCACTTTTCGAAATTAAGGCTAGATTTTCAGTGAAATCCATTTCAGAACTAGACTTGTTAAGAAATTGCTCTACTCTAGAAATCAAAATTGGATTCTGAGCTTGATCCCCTGAGGACGAATACCACCCATCGCAAAAACGTCTGGCGTAACCACCACATATGCCCGCCCCGAACGTCTCAGAGTACTGCCGTCGACGTCTACCCGATCGCCAGCCGCTACCGCGTAAAATGAACTCCATGGTCGTATCCAGAGTGTGAAACTACATCAAGAGACAACTTGCCACCCAGCAGGGATTTCGATCTAAACTTTATAGAAGGGTTTGCGAAGGGTGAAAACTGGATTGTTTTTGCATACAGGAACCCACCTCTAGTAAGAATACGAGGATATGAAATGAAACGTCAAAAACGTCTACTTAAAAACAAATTCTTAACGTTGATTACGGTTTAAAAGCAACAATTACATATGGAGAAACATATTTTTATGGCTATACCTTATTGGCGAAACGAACGCCTCCACAGAAATGCATTATTGGTTCCATTAAGTAATGATAGAATAAATGAAATGAAAAGAAGTACGAAGTATGGGTCGGCTCATAAGAATGGTGTTTATTGCTCACTCGAAATAACGCGCCAAATATGAGAAGTCTTGCTATAATTTCCTACTGTTTTACAGAGAATTTCTTGCACTTTACTGCACTGCACTTGCCTGTTAGTTTTTTTGATGTTTCTCTTTCCACTAATATTTAGGTGCTCAAACTGGAGTGTCAGGTCGACGAAACCCCATTTTCGACAGCTTCTCTTTTTCGCCTCTAATTAGAAAGCTAAAGAAGCACAGGCCCAGTTGCTAAATATATGGCCAAGAGGCTATGCTTCTTAGGAATGCTTACAATAGTTTGTGATTCGAAGATTTTCATTTCGACCTCACAGACAAGCATCGAACCTAATGCCCTATTGAGTCCAACTGAGAGCTTACTGAATTACCTTATTCACGGAGATTCATGCCAAGATTGGGGAATCGTTGGAGGTCATGAAAGTTCATATCATTATCAAGCATCACCCTTAGTTGATGTTAGACGTTCAAATTTAGGGGGTAAGTTCTGCAGGCTGTCGCTCCTCAGAGGGGCCCCCATGCAATGCACATTTACAAGGTCCGAAGTTCCCAGCTCTTGATCGCTTGAACCAACTTAAGCAATCACGAATAGCATCTTTCCTTGGTCATATATACCACAAGTTTCGAGCTTCTTCTGTAGTTTGAAGCGAGATAAAGTGCAAAAAGTTGTTGTCAAAAACTCACTTTTGGGTCGACCCGGAACTCTATTTCAATTAAGTAAAAATCGACAAAAATAGAAATAATGAGAGGCATTTATAATATCTTATAGAGCGGAGAATCGTCTCTCACAGGGTGTAGAACACATTGGGAACAATTGTCACTTTCCATATAGAAATTTGTGTGATAAAAAAAGCCATTACTTGTGGGCCAACCCAATAAAACTACAATATGAAATTCTAGGTGAGGGAAAGATTATTAACTATTGATTCAAATATAGGATGGCACTACGAGCTCATATTCAAAATAAGCGCTGGAGATGTGTTGCAATTGTATTTACTGCCTTTGTACCAGACAGTTCATAGTTCGAGTCTGCCCTGCGATGCGATGCATGGAATCCGCAACTAGGGGTTGAATACGGTCCCGGCTGGTTACGAGACATCTTGAACTTTTGTGCGTGGTCCTGTTGCGAAACCAAGTAACGCAGACAGATAGAGGACAGCGGCTGCCAAAGCATCGAAACGTGCAAGAAACATGTAGCGAGCCAGGAAACGGGCTTTTTCAGGGGGGGGGGGAGGAAGGGGCTTCGGAACCACTTATAATCCGTGAAAAGCTGGAATGTGCGAAGTCACAACAACCACAGAGTGCCATGCGGACGAGAGAGTGCAGAGAAAAACAGAAGATCGGTGCATTCGATGGGATTGAGTTCAGGAGAGCGATGGAAGATTCACAATTTTGCGAGTGGCGTTGGGAGCTGTTTGCCATTGTTTGGCAGTTCTTTCTGGTGATACCACAGCTTCAGAATGACTGATTCGCAGACTATGGGCGCTCGAATGGTGTAAGCTGAGCGAGGGCGTTGCTCCGCTAGACGTAAGACTGCAGCAACTTAAAGCAACATTATATAAGGGAACTGTCAGCGTTCGCCTGGTGTTATTGTAATGCAAATGGTGAAAAGGTGGACGCTAACTAGGGCTGGGAGTGGACCACTTGATCGCAACGAGAGAATTTCGCAGTCCGTGAATCACTACTACCGTAGCCCAGGTCGAGCTCCTCACCAGTCTTCTGGCCGCATGTTGAGAGGTGGAACCAATGCGGTGAACTCAAAGATTACCTCGAACTGTACCAGGCCCGCCTGATACCTCACTCAGAACACTGAAGCAGCTCGAGATAACAGTTCAAAAGGGAGGCAGATCTCATACCTTGCTGCTGCCATACTCGCTCTTTGAATCGGCCTTTACAAAACATGCGGATCCAGCACGGCAGCATTAAGGAATGGGATCTCCGTCCATTTTGACCTACATTCGGGTGTTGAAGCTGCTCCAGTGTTCTGAGTAGCAGCGACTCCTGGTACTGCGCAATCTTTCTTGTATTGACCACACATCTACACATCTATATGTCGCTTCCCTAACCAAGGCCTAGGTTTAGAGCGCAGTCATCTAAAATCACTTATGGATAGCCTCGTAGAGAATACATAGTCGCCGCTGAGCCTGACTTGCTCAATGGAAGAATACAGAAGTGCGCACTAGTTTGCTCCCCTCCGTCGTC